ATCACCATATTGGTCAGGCTGGTCTCGAACTCCTGACCTCAGGTGATCCACCCACCTCAGCCTCCCAAAGCGTTAGGATTAGAGGCGTGAGCCAATGCACCCAGCTAGGCCTGTAACTTTTAAGTAGAAAATGTCATATCCACAAGTTTGTTGACCTAATAGTGAGTGACAACAGTCTTATGAGATGTTTTGGTTTTTTTTGGGTTTTAAGAGACACGGTCTCACTCTCTCGCCCAGACTGGAGTGTGGTAGTGCCCTCGTGGCTCACAGCAGCCCTCACCTTCCAGGCTCAAGCAATCCTCCCACGTTAACCTCCCAAGTAGCTGGAACCAGAGGCAAGCACCACCATACACATTAATCTTTTTTATTTGTTGTGAAGACAGGGGTCCCTATATTGCCCAGGCTGGTCTCAAACTCCTAGACTCAAGCAATCTTCCGGCCCCAGCCTCCCAAAGTGCTGGGACTACAGGCGTGTGCCACCGCACAGCCCTTATGAATTGTTTTTGAGAGTGCCAGGGTGAAGACAATAGACTTAAATATACAGGTCAGCACTAATGTGTGTTACTCAAGATTTGTATGAACAAACTGAGTAGAAATGGCCTAACGTTCAAATGGAGACAAAACATGTCTAAGCATACACAATTGATTAGATTCATTCCACTTAAAATAGAGCCCAAGGCACGGTAGCGTGTATCTGTAGTCCTTGCTACTCGGGAGGCTGAGGAGGGGGATCCCTTGAACCCAGGAGCTTGAGGCTGCAGTGAGCTATGATGGCGTCACTGCATTTCAGCCTGGGTGACAGAGCAACTTGCCTCTTAAGAAAACAGAAGATACTGCGGGGGGTGGGGGTGTCCACTACATAAACTCTGGCATGCCACAATTATTTTCCTGACCCCATCTTGAGTTAATAGATGGTCAGTTAAAACAAAATATAATGTACATGACTGACTAATATGTCAAGTATCTTACCTAAAGATATTTTGAGGGTAGGCATGGTGACTCAAGCCTGCAACAGCACTTTGGGAGACCGAGGTGGGCAAATCACTTGAGGTCAGGAGTTAGAGATCAGCCTGGCCAATATAGCAAAACCCCCGTCTCCATTAAAAAACACAAAAATTAGCCAGGCATCATAGTGGAGCATGCCTATAATCCCAGCTACTCGGGAGGCTGAGGCAGGAGAATCACTTGAACCTGGGAGGCAGAGGTTGCCGTGAGCAGAGATTGCACCACTGCCTTTCAACCTGGGCACCAGAGTGAGACTGTCTCGAAAAGAAAGAAAGAGATATACACACACACACATACACACACACACACACACACGCAGACTATCATCTCAATATAAATTTTCCATACGAACAAGCTTTCTAAAAATATAAAATGGTAAGTGTTAAAATTCAACTCTTTTCTTCCCTTGGACAGTTTCAAACAATTGGCAAATTATGCAGCTTTCGACTTTCAGGCTGCAAACCTTGGTAACAGTAAAGTTTGCGAAGAGCTCAAATGAGACTTTTTTTCCTTTTTGTGTAAAAGGCCAGACAGAAGATATTTCAGTCTCTGTGGACTAGTGAAATGTGTCACATATTACTACTTTTGTTTTACAATCCTTCAAAACCGTAAACCATCTTTGGCTGGTGGGCTGCCTTGGGCCTGCAGTTTTCAGACCCTAGTGTCACCACCAGAGTATTGCAAAATGCAAATTCCTGGTCCCGCTTCAGCCTACTATTAATACATCAAATGACATGGATTGGGACATTCTTGTTAATTTCAGAGCCATAAGAAGTCAGCATACAGCTAATAAAGGTTATTTATAAGGTAACTGATTCTGTTACATTTGAGAGCTTATTTCCAGAGCCAAATGCTCTATTTCTGGTGTATATTCTCCTGTAATGTCTATTTTTCTATGCAACCACAAAAATGTCATTTCAAACTTTCTATACAAATGGCAGGTTTTTCAGACATTAAATATTAATCTTCAATATTTCATGTGTTTCTTGTTCACTGTTGTTTCAAATGATCTTCACGCCCAATTTTTACTGGAGGCTCATTAGTTTTCTTTTGCTTCCCCTTCCTAAAACCAGCACAGAGATGTGCACATAAATCTTAAATGTTTAACACACTTCCTGTTGCTTCCTAATATGTGTATTTATTTATTTTAGATGGAGTCTCATTCTGTTGCTCAAGTTGGAGTGCAGTGGCACAATCTCGGCTCAGAGCAACCTCTACCTCCCCAGTTCAAGCGATTCTCCCGCCTCAACCTCCAAAGTAGCTGGGATTACAGGCGCCCACCACCGCAACCGGCTGATTTTTTTGTATTTTTAGTAAAGGCGGGGTTTTGCCATGTTGGCCAGGGTGGTCTTGAACTCCTGACCTCAGGTGATTCACCTGCCTCAGCCTCCCAAACTGCTAGGATTATAGACGTGTGAGCCACCGCGCCCGGCCAGTATTAATCTTTTCTTCCCCCTTAAACCATGCAATCTCAAATGGGATTACCACTTCCACCTGTCCTCATTTTCCACATCCTCAGGAGTTTAAAATTAGTGCCGACAGATCTGTTACAGTGTATGAAGATACAATGTATGTAAGGTTTTCACAAGTTCCTGATAAAATTCACCTGGAATGCTTGTAGGACATACAGGTTCTTTCACCCTGCCACCCCTCTCCTGATTGTGATGTGGTAGCACCGGAGTGAGGCCTGGGATATAAAATAACCACACAAGCTCTCCAGGTGATTCTTGAGGCTAGGCAATGGCTCCACCACATTAGGGCCTCGATTATTTACCACTGGCTATCCCACGTGTGATAAACACTTGATTTTTTTTTTTTTTGAGACGGAGCTTCGCCCTTGTTGCCCAGGCTGGAGTGCAATGGCACCATCTGGGCTCACCGCAACCTCCACCTCCCAGGTTCAAGCGATTCTCCTGCCTCAGCCTCCCGAGTAGTTGGGATTACAGGCAAGCAGGACCACGCCCGCTCGAACTCCTGACCTCAGGTGATCCGCCCGCCTCGGCCTCCCAAAATTCTGGGATTACAGGTGTGAGCCACCACGCCCGGCTTTAATGTTTCTTATTAACAGCAATCAGGTGGATTCGAGGCACCCATCTAACCAAGTCAGAAACTGGTAGGAGTGAAGCTCTGAACAAAAGAGGAAACTTTTCAAAGCCAAATGCACATCATCAGATTCTTAAACACTTGAGGGATTTCTCTCTCCTCTCTCAAATAAGAAATGAATTACTGTAATGCAAAAATCAGCAAATACTGATACACCATACGCTTCACCCTTCTACTCGGAAGGTTCGGTAGTTTTCTTTGCAAATCAACCGGAAACCAAATCTTCCACTGTCTCAATTCAACAGAAAAGCCTCTCCCGCCACTTTACAAGACACAAAGTGATGCCCTCCCGCTGCCTTCGTCCTCCCTTATAGCTCACCAGAAGCTAAAGAAAGCAACTGGTTTAATGGAGCGCAGCCTTTACAATCAGATGGACAGAGAAGCTCCGCCACCGTACCAGTCCAGCTGGACTAACTGGACCAACAGCAGCGTGGCGCGGAGCGAACCCTCAGCTTAGTTCCCCTTCCCGTCACGTCTTCCCCAACGAGAAAACAGAAAGCGCAGGTTCGCGGAGGGCCGGGCAAGGGCGGCGCGGCGAGAAGCGAGGACGTGACCGACGCGAGAGAGGAGACAGCAGGGGCAGCGCGAGAGGCCACACGGCCTCCGCCCCTGAGGATGCACGGCCGGAGCTCAGGGACCAAGAGGCGAGCAGCCCAGGGCGGCGGCCATTACCTGCGTCCGAACAGCCGCGGCGGGGCTAGGGCCGCAGTGAGCTCCTCGCAGCCGCGGCCGCCCACCGGCGCAGCCCACGCCTGGCCGCAGCCCCAGCCTCTCTGCGACCAGCCTCGCCACGCCATCTTCCCAACCTCTGCCCCACCATGGCCCGACCTTACCAACCCCGGCTGGGGAACCACTTCCGGGGCGAAGGAAACATCATAGAGCGCGAGGAGCGGTCTAGAGCGCCCTAGAGCGCCCCCGCGCGGCTGAGCGGCCTTGAACCGGCCACGAGGCCGGGACGCCCGGCTGGCGCCCCTCTCCGCACCGCTTCCCCTCCCACCTGAGCGCTCGGCCTGCTCGGGGGCACACCTGCGACAGTGGCCCGGCCTCCCCGCATCTGCAGGTGAGGAGGATGAGGCCAGAGCGAAGAGGCACAGCTGACACTTCTTGAGTAACGGCACATACCAGGCGCTTTCCCTACGATCGCATTTAATCGCCACAGAGCCCTCTGGAGGGAGATGTCACGCCGCTTCCCTGAGCCTCAGGCCAGAGGGCACAGGGCTCGCCCAGCCTGGCAGGGCTGGCCCCTAGAGGAACCAACGTCGCAAGCCAAGTTTTCTTAAATTACAACTCGCCGGGCGCGGTGGCTCAAGCCTGTAATCCCAGCACTTTGGGAGGCTGAGGCGGGTGGATCACGAGGTCAAGAGATCGAGACCATCCTGGTCAACACGGTGAAACCCCGTCTCTACTAAAAATACAAAAAATTAGCTGGGCATGGTGGCGCGTGCCTGTAATCCCAGCTACTCAGGAGGCTGAGGCAGGAGAATTGCCTGAACCCAGGAGGCGGAGGTTGCGGTGAGCCGAGATCGTGCCATTGCACTCCAGCCTGGGTAACATGAGTGAAACTCCGTCTCAAAAAAAAAAAAAAAATTACAATTCTTTCTTCTACATCTTACCACTTTGTGTTATTCTGTATGCCTTTAACAATGTCCAAGCCTGTCTCATTCCCGTATTCCCAGCACTCTAGAAGGCTGAGGCGGTGGGATCACTTGAGGTCAGGAGTTCGAGGCCAGCCTGGCCAACATGGTGAAACCCCCGTCTCTACTAAAAATACAAAAATTAGCCGGGCGTGGTGGCACGTGCCTGTAATCCCAGTTACTCAGGAGGCTGAGGCAGCTGAATTGCTTGAACCCAGGAGGCGGAGGTTGCAGTGAGCCAAGATCGCACCATTACACTCCAGCCTGGGTGCCAGAGCGAGATCCATCTCAAAAAAATACAAATACAAATACAAAAATTAGCCAGGCATGGTGGTGCGTGCCTGTAATCCCAGCTACTTGGTTGGCCGAGGCAAGAGAATCACTTGAACCTGAGAGGCAGAGGTTGCAGTGAGCCAAGACTGAGCTGCTGCACCCCAGCCTGGGTGACAGAGCAAGATCCATCTAAAAAAATACAAATACAAAAATTAACCAGGCGTAGGTGGCACAAACCTGTAATCCCAGCTATTGGAGAGGCCGAGGTGGGAGAATCACTTGAATTCAGGAGGAGGAGGTTGCAGTGAGCCAAGATCTTGCCAGCCTGGGTGACAGAGTGAGACCCTGTCTCACAGACAAATAAATAAATACAAAGTCCAAGCCTGAAATGGAAAGGAGGCTTTCACTTTTTCATAATCCATCCCTCAGTCAGCGTGGTTCCCAGCCACTCCATTCCCCCGACCCCAGCTGCAGCCATACGGTCATTAGCCATTACTCAAAGGCACCACCCGAGTTCCCACAGTTGTGCATTCACGCTACCGTCCTCACCGCCTGAAACACCTGACCAACCTGTCCTTCAGGTCAGCCTCAAGTGTCACCTCTTCCAGGAGGCCTTTCCCAAACCTCCACTCAGACTGAGGTTCCCTTCCTTTGTACTCGCAGACCGCGTTACGCACTTCATTCATTCCGTAAATATTTATTAAGCACCTACAGGGTGTCGGGTGATGTGTTAACCCTGGAGATACAATTGAGAAGAGGCTATATCTGACCTCACAAACATCCTGTTGCGTTGGGGGAGAAGGCTCTGCAAACGTTTAGAGACAGGGAATATAGCCCAGTTGAAGGAAGGGCCATGGGAGCCTGGGGGAGAAGACTTCCCAGAGAAACTGACAGAGGTCTCCAAGAGAAGAGGACAGCGTTGCTCAGAGAGAACAACATCTCTGATGTCTCCCAGCGCATGGCTTGTCTGAAAAACTAAATTCACGCCTTTTCCACACACGCAGAGAGGGGCCCAAATGGCATTGTTCTGCATTCCTGTTGTAACTTAAAGGGAAACTTTCACAATGTCTGGAGCGCTGGATGTCTTGCAAACGGAGGAGGAAGGTGACCTTAAGTTCCTTGCAGCAGGAACCCATAGAGATGGCAGCAGCCTTGACTTCCAAATGGAGCAATACATCTGTAAGAAGAAAAGTGATGGTGTCTGCATCCTAAATCTGAGGAGGGCCTGGGAGAAGCTTCTGCTGGCAGCTCGTGCCATTGCTGCCTTTAAAAGCCCTGCTGATGTCAGTGTCGTGTCCTGCAGGAGTACTGGCCAGAGGGCGGTGCCGAAGTTTGCTACTGCCACTGGGGCCACTCCAATTGCTGGCTGCTTCGCTCCTGGAACCTTCACTAACCAGATCCAGGCAGCCTCCAGGGAGCCCCGGCTTCTGGTGGTTACTTATCCCAGGGCTGCCCACCAGCCTCTCACAGAGACACCTTATGTTAACCCACCTACCTCCTCTGTGCTGTGTGGACATTGCCCTCCCAGGCAACATCCAGGGAGCTCCCTCAGTGGGTCTGATGTGGTGGATGCTGGCTCGGGAAGTTCCGCGCATGTATGGGACCATTTCCCATGAACATTCGTGGGAGGTCATGCCTGATCTCTGCTTCTACAGAGACCCTGAAGACACTGAAAAAGAAGAGCAGGCTGCTGCTGACAAGGCTGTGACCAAAGAGGAATTCGGGGCGAACGGACTGCTCCAGCTCCCGACTTCACTGCTCCTCAGCCTGAGGGTGCAGACTGGTCTGAAGGCGTGCAGGCGCCCTCTGTGCCTATCCGGCAGGTCTGTACTGAAGACTGGAGCACCCAGCCTGCCATGGAAGACTGGTCTGCAACTCACGCTGCTCAGGCCACTGAATGGGTAGGAGCAACCACTGAATGGTCTTTTTTTTTTTTTTGACACAGAGTCTCGCTCTGTCACCAGGCTGGAGTACAGGGGCACAATCTAGGTTGCAACGTCCATCTCCCAGGTTCAAGCAATTCTCCTGCCTCAGCCTCCCGAGTAGCTGGGACTACAGGTGCACGCCACCACACCCAGCTAATTTTTGTATTTTTAGTAGAGACGGGGTTTCACCATGTTGGCCAGGATGGTCTCGATCTCTTGACCTCGTGATCCGCCCACCTTGGCCTCCCAGAGTGTTGGGATTACAGGCGTGAGCCACCGCACCCGGCCTCACTGAATGGTCTTAAGCTGTTCTTTAATGGGCTTTTAAGCAACATGGAAATAAGGTTGATGGAAAATAAACATCAGTTTCTAAAAAATAAATTCACTTGGGTTATATCAGAGGCATCAAGTCTGGGATTTGATTTTACCCTATTTGCAAGCTAAAAGATTGGATGTTGGCAAAAGACAGGAGACTTCTGGGTCAGAGACAAAACACTTTATATTACCACGGTATGTTCTCCAAGACCCATGGCAGCAATGCCATGAGCCAGGCAGATGGTGAACATGCAGTGGATTTGCATCTCAAGCGAAGAACACTGAGCCTGGAGAACCTACTGTTTAATAGTAAGTTTTTATAGTAGACAAACGAACAATCTTGGAAGGTAGAGACATTTTCCTCAACAGCAAAGGGCAGTGGGCTTACAACCTTGGAAGGAAGATAGTATCACCCTAGAGAGCACAGGCTTGTGTGCTGCCCATCGTAAAAGGTTCTAATTCCATGGCTGGGCGTGGGGGCTCACGCCTGTAATCCCAGCACTTTGGGAGGCCGAAGTGGGCAGCTCACTTGAGGCCAGGGGTTCGACACCAGCCTGGCCAACATAATGAACCCTGTCTCTACTGAAAATACAAAAATTAGCTGGGGGTGGTGGCACATGTCTGTAATCCCAACTACTCAGGAGGCTGAGGCACAAGAATCGCTTGAACCCGGGAGGTGGAGGTTGCAGTGAGCCAAGATTGTGCTGCTACACTGCAGCCTGGGCAACAGAAAAACACTCTGTCTCAAAAATAATAATATTAATAAAATAAAAGATTCTGATTTGGCCAGGCATGCCGGCTCACACTTATAATCCTAGCACTTTGGGAGGCCGAGGTGGGTGGATCACCTGAGGTCAGAAGTTTGAGACCAACCTGGCCAACATGGTGAAACCTCCTCTCTACTAAAAATACAATAATCGGCTGGGTGTGGTGGTGCATGCCTGTAGTCCCAGCCACCGGGAGGCTGAGGCAGGAGAATCGCTTGAACCTGGGAGGTGGAGTCTGCAGTGAGCTGAGATCGTGCCATTGCACTCCAGCCTGGGTGACAGAGCAAGACCCAAGACAGACCAAGACTCAAGACTGAAGACAGAGCAAGAGTAAGTCTCAATTAATTAATTAGTAAAAGATTCTGCTTCCTGAGTTCCGCGCTCCTCTCCTGTAATGCGACCCGCTCAGTGTGCGGGAACAGTCCAGCGCTCTTCACCTTGCTCCGTGGGAACTGGGACTCAGGGAACCGGCACACAAATTCTAGTAGTCTGGCTTACTGCTATTGCTGTGGGTGATAAGTCATCCTTCATTTCTGACCCAGGAGTCTTGTGTTTTCTTCCAGCACCCATAAAACTATACCAGGATAACTTGTAAGTTTTCAAGTGGGGTAAAATATTAGACCCTTCACAGTTCTCTGTAAGGATCTGTGAATTCACGGTTTCAGAGGGCGAGCTTCTCTTAGATGCTGACAAGAACTTGGGTGTGGCCATAGGGCTGATGGCTGAAGGAGAATGAGCTGAAAATCACTAAAGATGAGGAAGCCCAGGATCAGAGAGGGCCTGGACGTTGGCTGGACTGCTCACATGAACCTGGGGTCTTCAGGGTGATGGCAGGACTTGGAATGAAATCCTAAAATGTTGGTGAAGAACAGGGTGACAAGAAGGTTATTAATAGTGCCGAAGAGGTGCTAGAGATAAAGGAGAAGTTTCAGCAGAGGA